CATAACCTTATTGTTCTTCCAAAGAGCAACGCAAAATTTGAGAAAACGGAAGTCGCGATCCACTTCAGTCGCAAGACTACTGCTGGTGCAGTGTTGCTTGAAGTCGCAAAGGGAGGAAAGAAAGCGGAGTTTTGCGAATCCATAAAAGAAACACTGAAAGAAATAGTGACGGTAAAAGATTTAAGACCGCAAGCCACGATTGAGATCCGCGACTTGGATTGTCTAGCCGATGAAGAAGAGGTCATCACCGCTATCCGTTCAACAACCCAAAACCCAACAGCTGAGATTAAGGTACACGTCAGCAAAGCAAACAGTACAGAACAATGCCGCGCTTTTGTGAAAATGGCAATTACTGACGTAAAGAGCATATTGGAAAAATACCGCATAAAAGTTGGCTGGACAATTTGCCGCGTAAAGGTACGAGCCGACGTGAAACGATGTTTCAAATGTTTTGGAGTCGGTCACGTACAAGCAAATTGTACTGGTCCAGACAGAAAAGGACAAGGATTGTGCAAAGTTGCGTTGAGAAAGGGCATAAATTCAAAGAATACACAAAACCACCGAAATGCTGTCTATGCCTAAATGAAGGGCTCACAGCAATAAATCGCATTCCTGGATCAACTAGATGCTCGGCACACAAGAAAACGGGATATTATGAAAGTACTTTAAGCAAATATGCACAGAAGTAAAGTAGCTGCCGATCTCCTTGCGCAAATAGTTATAGAACGAAGAATCGATCTAGTGCTTATAAGCGAGCAGTACAGAAAAAAGGAAAGCGGAACCTGGATAGAAGACAACACAAAAACTGCTGCAATCTGGGTACCAACAGGCAGTAAAACACAAGTCACTAATAGCGGTTAAGAAAATGGTTATATTCACGCAAAATATAACGGAGTGACGGTAATGAGCTGCTATTTAACATAACACCCAGCGATGATATGCAAACATTTCTAAATAAATTAGAGGCAATTGAAGATAAAATTCTACAGCTCGACGGTTCCTTCATCGTAGGTGGCGACTTTAATTCCAGGGCAATAGAATGGGGTACGGGAACTACAAACTCAAAGGGAAGACGAGTTTTAAAAATGGTTGCTAGGGTAAGTCTTATAGTCGCAAATACGGGTATGACCCCAACTTTCAGAAGAGAAGGATGTCAAGGCACTATACCAGATATCACGTTTACATCAGAAAGAATAGCTAGTAAGCTTAACCAATGGAGAGCCTTAGAAGACTACACAATTTCAGGTTATGATTGAAGCACAAGAGGAACCCACAAATAGAAGGTGGCGAAACTAGAAACAAGAAGCGTTTGCCTACGCATATGGCAAACGCCGAAGAAGTGATGAGACATACAATGATAAGAATTACACAGGCATGTGCGATATCAATGCCGATACCTACCCAAAAGAAAGGTAAAAATGGCACATTTCTTCTGGTGCATAGAAGAAATAAGTCAACTGCGAAAAGCATGTCTACGCACACGAAGACGATACACGAGAGCTAGACGAAATGGAACCATTATGACAGAAGGTCGAGAATATACTCACTTAAAAAACTTAAAAAAAGCGATTAAATGGGAGAAACTTCGAAATGACATAAATCATAATCATAATACAAAATAGTCATGAAGAAACTAGGAGTAAAGTCAGCAGTGAGTGATTTAGAACGAATTTGTTAATGTCCTGTTCCCAAACCACGATATAATAAGAGATGAAAATGTCACACAAGTTCAACCGGAAAATATTGACAACTTCACGAAGAGAGAACTAACGATAGCCGCTAGAGAACTACAAAATAATAAAGCACCTGGACCGAACGAAGTTTTAAAAATTATTGTGGAAAATAAATCTCAATTATTACTGACAATGTACAATGCATGTCTTAGAGAGTGAATTTTCCCAGATATATGGAAAAGGCAGCGATTAGTGCTTATCGACAAAGGCAAGAGAAACAGAGATACTCCAGCAGAATTTGTACCACTGTGTTTGCTATTCCTTTAAAAAAAAATTAAACAATTATATGCAAAAGCAACAATTTTTGAAGCAGAAAAAGTTCGCGGTCATTTCTTAATATTTAGATTTTCTGTTAATATAAATTTGTTTGCAAGCATAAATGTGTCATGAAATGATATATATTTATCAGTTGAGTCCTAAAGAGTCTAAGAATTGATCATTTAAGAAAATTTTTTTAAACAAACAGTAGATTTTTACAATGGAAAATAAAAGACGTAAAATTAGCAAGAATGAAGCTATTCATATCCAGATATGTATAGCTATGATAGAATAAAATGATTAAGCTTTGCAAGAAAGCATGTAAAAAAGCCTATGGATTTGTGAAACTGAGTAATTTTCACCGATTATAGTAAATTCTGCATATTTAATTCTGTGGAGAGAATCATGTATAGCCTATGATAAAGAAAACTTAATGTCAACGGTAAAACATGGTGATGGAGGAATAATGCCTTGGGGGTGTATAGCAAGTAATGGTGCTGGCAAATTTGAATTTGTACAAGATACAAGGGACAAACATAGGTACCTAAATATACTAAAAACAAATTTGAAAGAAAATTACAGAATGTTATGGTTTGAGGCAACCTTTTTATTTCAGTAGGACAACGCTTCTAAGCATACATCAGCGATTGTACGGATTTGGCTGCTAAACCCGCCAAACTTCAACCACTACTAGAATCACCAGCGGAAATTTCGTATGATTTTTCTCACTTTTGACAAACATTGCAAGTAACTAATTGTCAAAAGTGAGAAAATGAAGTGAGAAAGTTACATAATCGAGCCGCAGACCAGAACATCTGTGAGTTTATTTGGAAAATAAGATTCGCCAGCAAACGATTTCCAGCAAGAGTAGGGTAAGAAACGTCATCAAGGAAGATTGGCTATAAATAAACGCACAGGATACTTTTAGGCTAGCTGGGTCCATGCAAAGACGTCTAAAAGAGGTTAATAAACGCAGAGGTTATCCCATAGGCTATTAGATTTAGGATTTCTGTAGATTTTAATTGTTTTAATTTAAATATTAAGAAGTGACCGTAGACTTTTTCTGATTCAGACATTTTTGCTTTTTCATATAACTGCGTTTGATTTTTTTTTAAGAATAACTGTTAATTTTTTATGTTTGAACTTCTTTGTTATTTCTTTGGTTAAAATAAGTTAGAAAACAAAAATTAATTTGAGTAAAAATTAAAAAAGTTATGCGAAATTGAAGAAAAATTTTGTGGGTGACCGCAGATTTTTTCTGCTATGTGTATATGCGATATCCCAGACATAATTTGATCAGACGATGTCACAGCTCTGGATCGGCTTGAAGAAATAATAATACCTTTATTACGTCCTCTAAGTTTAACCTGTTAACCGATTAACCGTCGGTATGGTATTTACGCTATTCATTCAGGCACAAAAATATTTTTTAGCTGAATACTGACTAAAAGTTGGTCTTTTTGTAATTACCGCTGACCGCAACTCTCAATTTAATTTAATCAGCTTTTTGTTTACCACTCACTTTTAATTTTAAATATTGAGCTCGTCATGAAATTGAATTTTTGTAATTATCGCTACAAATAACTTTTTTTGTCGGGTCACTACTTTGATGCTTTCAGTCCCTACTAGTTTACTTTCCACACTAGACTATTCGACAAGAAAATACTATATTAATTTTCTACTTACAAAAACTAATACATCATTTTATATCAACTACGAGATGTACAAGTTTACCTAAAACTTTAAAATTAACAGAAACTTTATTTCTGCCTCATAACTTTATCTCATATTACTTTAATGTTTATGTTTGATTAATAATTTTTTTTTCTTTTTTTGTTTCACCACCATTTTGAATTTTCAAAAACAAAGCTGTGGAGTAATGTGCCTAATAGTAGTGCCAAAAAAGTAATTATCCGTTACTTTGTATTCGTTACTCAAGAAATACCGGAGTAACGAATACAAACTTTTTATTGTATTCGTTACTTTTACTCATTTTACCAATGAGTAGTATTCGTTTTACCTACTCTTTTGAGTACTTGGTAACGATTACTTTCAACAGCTGTTTTCGCGGTTTAATAACAACTACTTTATTCAAAAATTTTGTTCGTTTTCAAATTTATTAAAAATGTGTGAAAATATTAATAATAAAAAAAGTGAAATTTGGATTCATTTTGAACCAGTAGGAAGTGAAAAAGCTAAATGCAGATTATGTGGAACAAACTATTCAATAAAAGGTGGTTCTACTTCAAATTTGAGAAAGCATTTAAACATTAAGCATCCCACGGTCCTAAGCGCCGTTAATCGGAATCGTGAAGTAACGAAACCGCAGTAACGAAAGCGCAGTAACGAATACTGAGTAACTAATACTGAGTAACGAATACTGAGTAACGAATACATACTCGAAAAGTAACGGGTAGGTACGAATACCCAAAAGTAACGAAGTTTGGCACCACTAGTGCCTAATATCATGATCCGTATCCAAAAAAATTTAGTCTCTGAAATGACTATTTTGGCGGCATGTTTTTTGGTAGGTGTGAACATTTGACCATTCTTAAATGTATAACATATACTAAAACTAAAGTAGTCATTAAAACGCACGATTATTTCATTCATTAACTTTAAATAATAATTTAATATCATAAAACAATCCATTTTATAGTAACAACTATATTATACATATTTATTTATAAAAGTTAATAATTCATAAACTGTTACTAACTCTACATGATACATAAAAATATAAATAATAATATATATGCCAGTTAAGTAACATATTTGAAAATTTACATTTACTAATGTAAATATTGCAAACATGACATATATATATGATATATGTGTATTATATTAAGTACAAATTATACTGGAAAATTATAAATACATTAACATAATTATAATTACAAGTTCAATGTAATCGTCCAGTTAGTAATTTTTCATATTCAATTAATTGATGTATGAGAATAGATTTTTTTGTGTTTAGGTGGTAGATAGACTACATAACTTTAGTACTGAACGATTTGATTAAATTTATTCATTTAATTTTAGAACTAAAGTTACTTTTACACGATTTTTGCATAGAAATGAATGATCTTGATGACATCCTTCGTGATTTTCCGTAAATTTTTGTTTTATAGATTTATAACTATTCTTTCGAAGACTAATGTAGGGGCCATAACGCTCTTCCAAAAAAAAATTTGGCAAGCATATATAATTTTATTTCAATTCTATAAGTAGTGCACTTATATCTACTTAATATTATATTTGTTATTTATAATTTTATAAACTAAATATATAATATATACAATATATAGTAAAATACAAATTATATTACGTAATAATTATAAACACGTTAACGCAATTAATAATTATATATAAACTGCTCTTTGGACTACAACTTCATTTTGATTAAAAGTAGTAATTGACTGCTTTTTCATTTTCCTTATTTCATCGATTGATTTGTGACAACTGATTCTTCTATTTCAAAAAAGTTGTTTAGAGGATTATTTTTTTTTGGAGGTTGCGGATCAAAATTTTGTTCAGCACTAATTTCAATATAAGTTGGTTTAATTTCTTCTCTTATTTCTAGTTCATAAGTTTCATAACTTTCGGTTATCGGTGGCCAACTATGAAAATATTTAAGCTCATATTCAATTTGCATATATTTTTGTTTCGATGTTCTAATATTGTTTTCACGGCGTACATGAATTTTTTTAAACAGCAAATATTCAACCACAAAGCTTTCTATTAGTACATGAAACAAAAAATTACAAACGCCATACACCAACATCCAATATCGGAAGCTCATAATAGGAGGCATAACCAGTTGAAAGAAATTTGCGAACCATTCTGCAGGGTATATAATAAGATATACAACGATGAAGACGTTTATAGTAAGCGAAATGCAGAAAGGAATATTTGAGTATATTGGTTTGCGATATGGAGTTCCTTTCGAGAAAACAAAAGCCAATATTATATATTGAAAACTTGAGATCGCGAACATTGTATAATTTTCAAAACATCCTAAATGATCGTCATTTGATAGTTGAAAAGGTACAAACCAACTTTGATGATGTAAATGAAACCAACCTAAAATATATAAAAATAAAAATAGCAATATATTAAAAATATTATATAAGTAACAAACCTGTAACTTGAAATCCGACAACAACTAATAAATGCAAAACAATTGAAACTAATGGCGTCATTGATATTAAAGAGCTTAATGGCACTTGTTTTACCAACGGTCCAGAATATGCTTCAGTTTTGCCGAAAAAGAACGCAAAAACAGATATTAACCCTAAATCTACATATAAATACTGTTTATCTGTAAGATTGGAATCTATTGAATATAATATCATTACAGATATGAATTGCACCATAGAATAAGCGGCCATATATTTAAATATTCCAAATGAAGTTACTAACGCAGCACGTCCTTCTTTTATAACTGTTGGCACTGACGCAATTGTGGGATTACGAGATGTAAATGGGGATGCAATCGAGGACTCTGTTTCACTTAATGAAATTCCAGTGTGTGCAACTTTAAGTGCCCCGCAATCATTAGCACCGTCACCACACATTGCTACACAATAGTCCAAATTTTGTAACTCTGTTATCAAGGATTGTTTTTGTTCTGGTGACATACGAGCGTAAATGACACCTCGGGTTAGAAAATTTTTCAATTCATTAGGAAAGTGTTCACGTACAATTTGCCACGTTTTACCAATCATAGCAAAACGGTAATTATTCCGCCAAGTTGTTGGTGAATTTTTATTTTCATTATATCTTACATCTAAATCTTCAGTTGGTAAAATGTCATTTAAAGCTATTTCTGGATCTCGATTAGTCCAAGTATCACACGTTTGTAAACTAGTTAAACTGCTACTGTTAGGATATGTTTCACAAGCACTACTGAGAGAAGTAATTTCGCTGTTTAGTTCTTTGTAATTTGGATCATTGTTTACTGAGATCATAACACTTTTATCCTTTTCATTAGATTGTAATAAATTGCTTTTGTTGGTACCTAACTCAAGAGTATAATATAATTCATACTGCTGGTTATGATTCTCTTGCTCCCTGCTATGTTGACGCACGTGTACTGTTACCACTGCTTGAGACGAAGAAACAATACCACAGTCGCGCGCAACACTTAAAGCTGTTAATATATTATCACCAGTAACCATTATTGTACGTATATTAGCAGCTTTCAATGAGCAAATAACATCGGTAGTATCTGGTTTTAATCTGTTTTCCAGTACAACAAATCCCAGAAATTCTAAGTCACTTTCAACAACTTCACGCGAAAGACGTTGTGCTTTTGTGTAATTAATTTTACTACTTAATGACTTATACGCCATAGCAATAACTCGGTAACCTTGCTTGGCAAAAGTAGCCAATTGTTCAGAATAGTCTTGTGGTAAACTACTTGCTTTGCATAATTGCTGTAACATTTCAGGAGAGCCTTTACAATATACATTAAAATTTTTTTCAGTAAGACGGCGTGTTATAACAGACATCCGCTGAAGATTTGATGTAAAAGGAAATTCACGAACTATTCCATGATCATTACTTGATTCTCCACTAAGCAAGCCTACATCAGCTAATAAATCATCTACAGATGATTGACGATCCACACTTTGAGGTTTTTCAGTTGAAATACTCAAACTCATAGCTTCATAAAAAATATTCACATTACATTATATAATTTAAGAATTTTATATGTTTTTATTACCCTTAACAGGTTGTCTTACTATAGTTGGGTGAATTAGTCCATATTTTTGGCTATCAGGAATATCTTTAGGATCCTCCAGTATCCATCCTGTAGATTCAAACATTTTTAAGTCAAGTGGGTCGCCCATTAGCTTGCCATTCATTATAGTAATAGAATGACAGGTAACCATACAAAATAAAAAATGTTCAAGTGGTAAACGCTCAATTGCTTTTAGTGGTATTTGAAACTGATTAGTAATTGATTTTGGAACAACACCCCACATATCTAAACCATCTTCAGTTAGAGTCCCAGTCTTTAATTTTATATTACAAAATAATGTTTGCTAAGATAATTTTTTACTAAATCAATAATTTTTATTACCTTATCAAAACAACAGCAATTAATACTTCCCGCCACATTTATTGATCTGGGTGAAATACAAAAAATACTCTTTGCTTCTAACCGTTTTTGTGCATAATATCGTCCTACAGTCATTGCTGCAGGCAAAGCTGGTGGAACAACAATTGTTATCAAATCTAACGATTCCACGGCTATTTTCACTGGATCAATTTCACGCATTATCTAAATAAATTTCATTAATAAATATTTTACGCTTTATAAATATAAAAATATATAGCAAGCATTATCAAAAACAAAATTAGTTTTTATATAACATTTAATAATATAAATGTACTTACTTTACTTATTAGTGTGTAAATAAATCCTATTAACGCAATCAACGCTAAACATTCTATAAATTTATAAGAATCTTGCTCAAATCTATAATCCACCGGTGGTGGATATAAAATCGATCGTATAAGTCCGCCTTTAGCAGTTATATTACCGGTATTAATAACTATAGCCAAAACTTTTTCAGAGCCAATATATCGAGTTTGTATAACTTTTGTACCGCAAAATAAAGTATGTCGTGCATGCTCTTTTTTATCGTACATCATTCCTCGCTTCACAGGTAATGGGGTTTTGGTCACAGGCACACTTTCACCTGCAAATTAAGATTCATATAAATAAATCAAGAATTTTTAATAGTAAACTAATTCAACAACTTATTAAAAAATACTATTATATTTAAATTTATACTGCTTTACGAAAATATAGAAAATTATATAAGAAACACAAGATATCAAGGTCTTTGCAGTTAAGTTTTTATACGTAACCTGAGGTTTTTGACTATTTACACAATTCGTTTTGAATTATTTTTAAAATTCACTAAAATTAAAATCAGGAGAATATATAATAGCGTATGCGCATGACACAAATAATTGGCTTAAATGCTCAACTAAATTAAATGACTAAACTCATTTAGCTTGCTCCGCTTCAAATCTGTTGTGAATAGGTTACTATAATGTTACTATTATCTTAATTTTGTTTCCATTCTTTTTCTGTAGTTGCACTGGTAAAGGCAATTGCTGAACGGTGAATCAGTATCTTGCTTCAATATGGGTCAATTCCTAAATTTTAAGTACAATGTCCTAGAAAAAATGTACAAATGTACAAATGTAGATCAAATCATAATTTTATATACAACCGTATTTAAATTTCAACTTCATCTGTAACAAAGTGAGCTGTCCGAATATAACAAACTAAACATACAGGAATATGTTTAGTTTACAATTTTGCACAAATTCTTTCCCTAGCAAATTGTTGGGGAGACAAGTTAAAAAGTATTAAAAATAGTTTAATTTAATATGAAAGTAACTTATAATGATCAGATTTTTGAATATATTTTAATAAAATTATTATTATAATAAAATTATTACAATAAATTTAATATTTATGAAGTTTTATTTTTTATTTTATCCACAAGAGTTGATTAGTTTTCCGAATATATTTTAATAAAATTATTTTAATAAATTTAATATAACTAAATTTTTATTTAATAATACATTTTATTAAAATTATTATTTTAATAAAAGTACACAAATTTAAAATATTTAAATTTTTATTTGTTTATTTTATTCACACGGGTTTTTTCCATTAATTAAAGTGTTAACTATTGTTTTTAAAACAATAGAAAAATAATAATAAAAAATAAAATAAAAATAAATAAAATAAAATAAACTTTTGCAATTCTGTGCAGGTAAAACATTGCTTCATTTTTATTGTAACATCTGCACAATCATAAACTATTATTAGTTCATTAATTGAAGCATGAAGGACATTTCTATCCTAATTATACAAAAAAAAAATTAAATTATAATTTACGCAAATTGTGTATAAAAGCAGTGAATGTTTGAAAATAAAGACATTGAAGAATTGATATCATAACGTAAGGTTGTTTTTTTTATTAGTTAAAAAAGAGTTAAAAATTTAGAATTTAGCATTTGGTTTATTTTGCTCATGCACAATTCTTTTTATATATTTATTTTACTCATTAAAATAAAAGTTTTTTATTATTTATTATTTTATTATTTATTATTTACTCATAAAATAACATCTTTATTTCCGATAATTTGTGCAGCAAACAAATAATGCGATTTTTACATTTAAATCAACATATGGTACGCAATTCTTTTCTTTGTTTTGCTCATTTTTGCACTTTTCGTCATTAAAAAGTGGCATGGTTGCCAAAATTTAACAAAACAAATTTGAAACTGTTGTTGTTCCCAAAACTGCTGTCTCCCAAGCAATTCAGAATAAGGGAATTGTGTGTTTGGGAACAGCGTGGGAATAGGGAGAATAGGGAAATCAAGAACAAAAATAATGTTTTTCGTGCCATGAAATTTGGCTACAATCGAAGACTATAAAGATGGTTAACTTCCTTACATTTGTTTGTACCTAAGAACAATTAGTCCATGTCGTTGTTGTGGTGAATCGCGCAGATTATCGGTTAGGATATGGACAGTTGATGGTAGTGCAAGAAGGGAGGAGATTATTTAGGAGCATGAATGGATTGCAGTTAAGTGGGATTTCAATTAAAGTCAACCTGGATCAGAACAGAGAAACCTACAATAATCACTACAATAAGATAGAGCCAGAAATTTATTGGACTCAAATTAATATATGCATTGGAACACGAAAATTGAAATGCGGTATCATAGAGGGTAGAATTGACGGATTCAGTGACTGTTTAGCATATGGTTGTACCCTGATGTCAATTGAATTTGGACAGTGCTCACTGCACGTGAAAGCCGTAATTCTTTCAGAGAGAAGGAAGGCGGAAAGGTAGTGATAGCTTTGTTGCAGTGCAACCATGGGTGTCGATACTACATGTCTATGGAAAGCTGTTAGTCCATATTTATGTGTTATCTCACTTATGTTACCTCCACTGACGTAGGAATCGACGAAACCATTTTTGGTGGGATAGTCATTATATTGAGAACGTGGAAGCAGCAAGCAACTTTAGTCTAATCAGGTTAACATCAGGGAAACTAGGTCAAGTGGACGTCTCTTCATTTAGTACATTGAATAAAGATATTTCAGTTTAGGTTGCTAATAGTAAGCCTGTATGATCAGATCGTAGATAAGAAACGATCATATACAGGCAAAGCTGTTTTTGTGCGGAAGAAAGGGACAGCACAAAAAAATGCATTAAAAAAAATCGATCAAAAATTTACGAGTAGCTATAAAAAGTAGTTTTCGAAGCATAATTTAATAACATAACATAATAAAGAAAAAAAAAAGTCTGCTGTAAGAAATACATGAAAACCTAATTATTTTGTTTTAGGTAATACACACGCTATGTTTTCAAATATTTTATTTACATATATAATTTTTACACATATAAAATTTCTTATACATTATTCTTTATAATCAGACAATACGCCAAATTTCTTTTGGTAAGCTGGTTCAAAATCGCTTTCCTCACTCGCAATCGTTTTAATTTGGCTTTTAAATATGTAGCATAACACGTACATAGTTGATAACTTCGTCAATTATGTTGCAATTTCATACACCGCAAAAAAAAATTGCACATAAAAGACCCCATAAAAACAGGTTTAACGGTACTATAGGATAGAGTGCATCAAATCACCCAACACATTACGCGAGTCCCCATTTAAAAGGTGAAATATATCTGGGATGTGCTGCGGAAGGCAGGTTGAGAGGCTGGTGTACATTTTTAACTTCTATATATTTCTTCATATTTCATTGTTCTATACTTTATAAGGAACGAGAAAAGGGAATTACGCAATAGTCTCGTGCATTGCAACTACTATGATATTATTAGAAGTCATGAATACTGAATGAATACATGAATTTAACAGAAGAATTTTAAAGGAGAAATGCTAACGTAGTCTCTGAAATTTCAGAAATTTCACAGACTACGTTAGTGCGTTGTGGATGTGAGCGGGTTAAAGATGGAATTATGGATAGTTGTTAGCAACAATTTCCAACATAATCTGAACTCTAAGAATATTGGAATTTCGGTTGCAACCACCAGTCGTTGCATCGGACAGAGATGACATTCCTAAAAATTTCTCTAAAGTTTCTATTGCAAACTGTACATAGACATCTACTTGGTGGGGTAAAAGATGCCGGAAAGGAAGCTGGTTGGCATTGATTGGAAAAGAGCATCCAGAGCTGGACGACGATGAGGAATGTCTATTTAGGAGAGTTGTTTGACAACAAGCTCCTCTAATGGCAGCATTTTAATCATTGTGGGTATGCAAACGTGAACAGTGTCAAAGGAAGAATCAGTTATTGCAATTAACAAAGGATTAGTTTCTACTGATGCAAAAGTTAGAACAGTGCCAAGAAGAGGGTATTGATCCGTCACTATCGGAATTGGTTTCAACACATGAATGACAAATATCAAAACAAAAACGTACCTGCTAAAATATTTCCTAGTGATATCTGAAACTACTTGCCGCTTATTGTGAAGTATTAGAATTTTCTAAAAAATATCTCATCTGTATGTTCTTAGTCTCCCCTGCGGGTAAGGGGTTAGAATATTCCCGAGGTAGGGATGCCATCACAAGAGGCAACTAAAATCCCAGCACCATTCCGACACTGATTGGAGTGTAAATGGGATCCACCTGCGACACCCGCTCCGAGGTGTATATCTGGCAATTTGAGGTTGGCAGTGTTGTAGTGGCTGTAGTTAAGCCCAAACTTAAGCGGCAAAAATGATTGTATTTAAGTTTCATTTGGCGTGAAGCTGCGTTTTCACAACATATGATGTTAGCTAAAGATCAGCATAAGTATTAATTGGACTTGGTACTTACCAAGGGGTAAGTTATGCTAAACACAACTTAAATTGGTGCCGGCGGAAAATTCTTGGAATTTCTGATGGGGAGTTCATCGGCGAATTATCTTAATACGTGTATTTTTAGAACACCGTAGTGTTGAGTATTCAAAACAGGTAGCCACGTTAAATAACTCTAGATTTTGTCTGTTCTTAGTACAGAACGCCCGTAGTTATGTGAAGTAACTAATGTTTACTAAATCAACATTTTTTTTAGATGTTCCGTTAGAAAAGAGGTTTCGAACAATAGTGATTTACAACAACAAAATTCTTATTTGTTTTTAATTAACTGAATTTTATATTGACCAAACAAATGTTTCAAATATTGCAAAATACTCATCATCAATAGTATTTTTGAAAATATTTCTTATATTCAATTTTTTTAAATTAAATTTTTGAAACTGCAAGTACCAAGTATTGAGCTTGTCCCTGACAAAACTCGTCGTCAATGTTAATTAGCCCATTGACCTAAATTGGAATATTTGCGTTGTTCTAACTTGGAGTTTTGTTAATTTGCTATAAAAGTCCATTATCAAATTCAGCGAAGCAGACGATGTGAACGCATTCAGTATTTTGATTCTTTCAGTGACACACGTTTTATCCTATCCTACATCCGTGTTTCTAGTAATAAAGTTTGTATTGAATTCGACAACTCAGAGCACTGCATTGAGAAGGCGCGAAAACTATCGAGTGTATTAATAATGCAAGCTGAAAATACCAAAAGCAGACGGCCAATGATAACTATTAACCACTCCCTACACTTAAACATTTTGTAGTATTTACTAAATTTAGTCTACAGATTGCTGAAGGTTTACTGTACTACTTCTATCATGAGGCTAATGCTGATACCACCCTTTACTTCTGTTTTAGATAGGGAAGCAAACAGAAACTAATCATCTTACATCAGATATATACTTACTATTTACCAAGTCTTTGAAGGTGTCTCACCATAAGCCGCACATATATTTCGGCATATTCTTGCTGCAGTTTCACCTCTTTTCTTAGCAATTAAACATCACATAGCGTAAGTTTTAAAATATTGCACTCGTTCTTAAATCTATACAACTTTTTATACGACCAACAAATAATAGAACTGTATACACAAAAATATGTATGCTAAAATCACACTTTTAAAATACGTGTTCATTTGATCTAATCGCAACCAACAGAATTTAGAGACAAAAACCCGCAAACTTTTGCTCGAACTAAATTATCGTTCTGCAGATTATATATCACCAGAGCGTTAACAGTAAACAGTTAACATTAATCGAACACAAAACACAAGCTATTGCTTTCATACACAAGTCGAAAGTGATAAAACTCCCATCAACAGTGTAGCTCTAAACTTCATCAGTTAATAAAAATATTTAGAGTAGTATTTTACCCACCGTGCACCTTACGTATATTACATATTCTAAAAACATAGCTATCACATGCAGACAATACAACTTTGCCAACTTTTTCTATAATTCATAAAACAGTTTGCTATTCGGGCAATAAGAACTTTTCAAGAGTATGTGGATGATATTCCTAATCCCAATTCTATACATATACATACAAACGGAAGCATACAACAATTGATCTGCATTTATCATTAATCAGATGATGACAGCTAAATGATAGCATAAATGAACATAACTACAAACTTCATCAAATATGTAAATTTTTTTCAAGCTGATTTAACAACTCTAGCATAGGTCCTAGTTGTCCATAGGACTAGCATAGGTCCATAGGACTTTTTGCCGATGGTCACAGCTAAGTTAGTCGGCACGTACCGTAAGAACTTAAGCTAAAGCGCAACCAATCACACCTGCATATTTGAAACGAACGAAATAAACAAAAGCGGCAAGTTTAAGCGAAGTTAGAAGGAGAATAGAAAAATCAAATTCAATTAGGTTTTCTGCCTAAGCGAATTTAAAAATGCGAACAGTTGCTCGCGAAACCTTATTGAGGGTGGGTGCTTTGCAATAATGCGCCCATTCGGTTTCGCATTCTATGCATCTGCAGTATGTTCAGAAACATATTGGCAATTTGCTCAGCATATATTTCGTAAATTATTTTTAATAAATTTTCTAAAAATGATTTCTTGCCAAAATAATATAGAACATATAATATCGCTAACAAAAATTGTTTTCAATTTTCAATAAAATATTTTCACTATTATTTCACGTACACATTTTGCTTACTTAATCAAATGTTAATAAAATCAGCTGGTTACGTACGCACTAATTGTACATTAGAATAGAGCGAAATTTCCTTTTCATTTCTATTTAAGTTCTGACGGTACGTACCGACTAATTAAGTCTTCAATTATGTCACTTTGACATGTTGATGTAACAATTCTGTAAATAATCTAATAATAATTATTATTATTCTGTGTTTTGAGGCACAACGTTTGCAGCTAACAGGCCACAACCTACTAAAAGCAGCTTTATGTTCCCAAAAACACGAGTCTTGATTAAGTTAACAGATGTCCTACGTTGTAACGCCTTTTATAAAGTATGCTTGCTAGTAAAAAGCAGCACTAAAAATACCAGAGTTGTTTACCAGTTCGAGTAACCTGGTAAAAGTGCAACAAGTTGCGCTAACTCGTGAGCACACTTGATGGTGTTGATTTGTTAACAACAGCTGTTAAAATCAGCCCTGTTTTGATTAATTTGTAAATTGTAAAAAAAAATTTAAAAGAAATATCAATATTGTACCAAAATTAAATGAAAAAAGCAATATTGTTGGAATTTTGATCAAAACTAGTCTAAAGAGAATAAAATTGCTTGATTAAAAAATTATAAACATTTTTTAATCTTTAAAATTTGACACAATTTTTATGTATGTATTAGTTTTTAAATTTTTTTTAATAAGTTTTAAATTTAAAAATTAAAACAAGCTATGTTCATTCTTATTATATTGAAACTATTTGAACCAGTGCACTTGAATACTTTTACTCTCTATTAACTGCGAGGTATCTTCAAAACCTCTCTTTACGCCTTGACTGGATTATTGTTTATCACTTCATCAGACTAAGCAATAATTGACATCAGATCTGCATACCTCTTCGAGGAGCCTGTAACCATTCTGAGATTCGATACAGCGGTATTGGTAAGTCTGTCAGTTTTCGTAACTAATTTCATGGCTCTATTCTTTATTCTTTATTATTCTTGTTATTAAATAATTTTCAATTTTTGAAATAAATGCATGAACATTTAATATTAATCAGAAAAAAGCTTTAAATGCTGCCCATACAAAATGCTTAGTATAAATACATTTTCGAAGTAAAATTTTTCTTATATATGAGAAAGATGGCAACAGTGACAAAAAGAGTTAAAGTGCCATGCAAATTTTAGTCAATCAAAATGCTTGACTTATTTAGTAACATTGCAACGCATTACTCGACATGTATTTTGTTGCACTTTTAATACGTTACTCGGTTACCAAGTAGTTACTCGAACTCGTGAACAACCCTCAGGATTAAAAAAACAGATTTTCAAAATAATAACTGCATTTAAAAAATATAATAAAAGGGCATAATAATAATAAGCAACTATGTATAATAACCATATAAATCGGTTTTTATACCGCCTGCATCCATTCACAGACTGTTGTAGCTGTAATGAAATTTTCGCAATTACCTATAAATTTTAATTATCTAAAAATATTATAAATTTTACATTAACCATAATTGTTATAATAAAATAAGTCATTGCGACAAGATTTTTATCTGACCGGATTATTCAAATATTTTTGCTATAATAAATTAATTACCAATATTAAGTTATAAAATAATAAAGCAAAAGTAAAAAAGAAATACTTTGACGAATAAATAAGTTTAATATAGAAGGACTTACCAGTTAACATGGACTCATCAAGTATACAATTGCCAGACAACAGCACAGCATCGCATTGCATAGTACAACCAGCTGTTGGTATTTCAATAATATCACCAGGCACCAGACTCTGCGTAGGCAAGTCCGTAACGACACCTGTTTGCGACACCACTAATGCAGTTCCAGTATTTTGTACTGTTTCTCGTAACCTATCTTGATTCTTAAAAAAAAAAATAAATTGTTCAGTAATTCAATTTAAATATATTATTTTCATACTTTCTTCATTTGCATAATAGACATTGATATCCCAAATACTGACATTAAAACAATGACACACGCATAATAAAAGTAATCGTACGTAAACCATAATATTACCGAGAATATTTGAAAAACGTAAAAAGGATTAAGAACTTCCAAAAATAATAATGTTTTAATATCCTTGTAAGGGACACTTATTTCATTCACTCCGTAAACAATTCTTCTGGAATTTTGCTCCTGCGCTGATAATCCTTTTTGTTGATGAAAGTAAACACTTGTCATATTCACATCAAGTCCTTTTAATTTTTTATAAGAGTACGTCTGTGAGTCCCAAACATATCGTAATTGTTTACAAAGGAATAGACGTATATTTTTACTTTCTGTCAAAATTTAAAAACAAATAAATTCATGCATTATCTGTAAAATTAACGAACATTTTTATACTTTTAAATTGACCGCCTGAAAAATGTACTGAAAGTTGACCATTTTTGTCGTCGCTGTCATCTCTTATGTGCAATGAGCTTTTTAAGACTTTTGCATGATATCCACCACTTTGATCACTTAAAATTTTTAAATTCAATTTAAATATTTTACATATATTCTATTATTACCATACTGACTCGGCACTAAAGTTTTTCACTGTCTTCACATAATAAATTTTGTGTTTGCCCTTATAGTCTTCCTGTATTAGAACCTTTTCAGCCTCATCTAAAGGACACTGCACATGTGTAGCAATCAAATACCAATGCCGCCACCAATGCAGTATTAAGCGCAGTAATCCGCCAGTCATGCATATACATAGCCAACATAGAAACATCCGGCTATTAGATTTACGGTAACCTGTCACTTGCATTTCATCTTCCTCACCTTGATTTAGTAAACCTACGCATGGTTTAGAATCTGAAAATAATTATAAATAATTTTAATAATTTTAAATATGAATATAAATATATATATATATATATATATATGTGTGTGTGTGGGCATATAGTTTAAAACCATATATATATATTATGACAATACAATTGGGTTTATTTAACTAAATATCGCTATGAATTCTTGTACCTTGTTTGCAAATTACTTTATCGCTCATTAGTATTAAGAAGTTTATTATCGTGTTAGAACAACTTATCAGGCTGTTTACTCTGTAATGTGTAATTTTGCTAATGTCGTCTCTGCATTATTCAGTTTGAAAACAGTCAATATTTCTAAAATTACATAATTTTAAATATTCAAATATTCAAATATCTAAGTGCAAAATGCAGATGCTCATAAAAATTATTTAAAAAAAACAAAAAACAAAAAAAAACAGTTTAATGAAAACAGTTGAATTCGTTCGTTTTAATAAAAGCAATATTTTCCAGTTTTTTAATTAAGAATTTATCACGTTCACAAAAATATATTTACAAAGAAAGAGACATTTTAGTATAAATAGTTGATGTAGTCAGGAAAATATATTAGAGGGTTAGCATTGACTTTGTTAAATTTAATCTAATCTTCTTCAGTTAATAAAATTCACATATAGGAAATATTTTTATTATGTAGAAGCACATTCCCATTAATAAGAACTTGTTCTTAGTGAATGAATAGAAAGAAATAAAACGGTTGATAAGTCGTAAACTACATTTCACAATTTTTTCAACATTTTGTGTTCAATATTTTATTAATTTCTCAATTTCTCAATTTAGACTTAAGCTGTACAATATTGCAATCTCAAAGCATTTCGAATTAAACAGAATAAACTTTGAATACAAAAGCGTATACATGCTTAAAGTTAAAGTTGTTGCGTTATGTTAATGTAAGCAGGTTATGAATAACCATAAACTCTCCGCACCACCATAAAATTTATAATTATTAATTATTAATAATTATATAAATAACAACTAAATGAGACAAATAACGACATAGCGGTTGCGACACAATCGTACTGCGATGAATTGAAACATGTACTCGTGGCTTGAATTTTGTTTAAATTTGTTTAAATTGCGTTCGAATGAAGTATCAATAAAACCCTTTAAGCGTATAAAGCACTTGTGTTTATCTAATTTAGAGTAACTTATGGAAGAACACAGCAGCGCAGCTCAATATAAACACATTTTTTAAAGTTCAATAACAACAACGTGTCGCGCCATTAAAATATCTTGTGCGCATAACTGACTAATTGACTTACGATCTGAATGTTGATAACTAGCTTTGACGTTAATACCCGAAGTTCGCGATAATGATTTACTGTGGATTTTAGTACTTCTGATATGATTAACAATTTCAATTTTACTCTTACAAAGAAATCGCATGCACTCTTAAGATTCGAAATTATCACAAACAAATTATCACGTTCTACTCTAATATTAAAAGCTTCAAAGTGAAAACATTGAAAACATTGAAATCATTGAAATCATTTTCAAAAGTAACATTGCCGTCAGTAATTTTCTTGCACAAGATTGTATGGAATAAATATTCATAGAACACAATTAAAATAAATTAAATTAAATTCGGGTTATACATTTTTTTGAATGTTGTTATAATTCAAATTAGTTTGAAAACCAAATAACCGCACATGTTTTGGAGTCCGTGTTGGTAATAAAATGGAAGAGTACAGACTGAGATAACTCAGTCTCTTGTTATGAGAATTAAGTTAATGTCTTTTATAGACCTAAATTCATAGTCCTGCTTCAGCAGCACTGTTACAGTAACACATGCGAGCCAAATATCATACATCATCATCTAATAATCGCCGAATGTGTCAAAACTGCAAAATGTGACTACGAAAATGAGTTCGATATTCCCTTAGTAAATATGTTAACAAACACATTTGCTCACATCTGAGGAAATGAAAATCCACAAGTAACTGCCGAGTAACCACAGTATTTACTAGAAATCGCTGTATATAGTGAAATGTGGTCTGGACGTTGATATGCCTATACGAAGGTGTGGACCAATTCGCCAACTTTTATTACAATTTCTTAATAATTACCAGATGTGTTAAGAGAGAGAGAGAGTGAGAGAGAGAGAGAGAGTGAGAGAGAGAGAGAAAGAGAGTGAGAGAGACAGAGAGAGAGAGAGAGAGAGTTGCCTGCTGTTAATTCATCCATTATCGATTGAATATGAATTCGAGTCAATTCGGTTTTTGCCAACTTTTGTTGCTAAACTAAAACTCAGCATACATTGAATATATACAATCAGACCATTTTATAACGCTAAACTGCAATATGAAATATATATGACACAACCAACCTAATATAAATGTGAGTTATATGGATTGAAAACAACCAATGATAATATAACAGAATCAATGGATATTTAATATAGAATATTAAAGTAGCATTGTCTATAAAATTTAAAATAAAAGACTAGCTAAGACCGCATTACAAGGGTTATTAATGCTATATTTTTGATGATATTCTCAAACCATTCACTTGGACAATAGCGACGCAAATTCCACACCAATAGAGGACAAATCAATATGTTAAGTAGATTTTAAGCAAATCCAGGAAGGTCGCACTAGATGGCTGAAAAATGGGTTATTAGATCTTTGAAAGTTTTTATTGGAAAAAGTTCTGTATAAAAAAAGTATTTCTGGTGAAATCTCTGGATATTGAGATGCTGACTGGGTAGATAAGATATATCTTTATAAATAGAAAACAAGTTGCGAAAGCACTGTTAAGCCTTCAATGACAGAAGTAGAATATTAAACCAATGATTCTTTAAGTTGAACTAAACACGTAGACATAAAAGTCAGCTTTGTTCATGAATTGATCAAGAATGGTTAAGTATAATTATAATTAGAATAAATAAGTTACTTGACATAGGTATGGTGTAACGTAATGTCTATAAAATATTAGGGGTATTCACGCAACTGATTAGTTGCTTAGTAGTTGATTACAACAAAAATTTGCACACAAAAATGAAACTAAGCAGAGAATCAACTATTTCGGTTATTAAAAGATTAGTACAAATTTGATTAATAGTGCTGCCAGTACCATGTATCGTAATAATAACTTAAAATGAACTTTAGTATAGAAATTTGTTAGCTGTCTCTCTCAGCTGTTTGAATTGTGTGTAAACAATTTTGCAAACACAAGTATGTTTCACTTTTGATGTTGCTGCGAGTGCTACCAAGCATTTACACACAACAAACTAATCAGATTACGCATTTTGGGTCGTTCAAGCAACTGATTAACATTAAAATGCTAAATTTTTTTATATGAAGTTTTTGAATCAATTAAGCAACTAATCAGTTGCCTGAATACCCCTATTGTAAATAATGTGCTTAAAAATGTTATTTTTGTGTTATATTGACAATACACTAAAAAAGATAACATTGAAGGCATTAATAGTGATAGAATTAAAAATGAATTTCACTATATCTCGATCTCTTTTTATTTTAACTAGAATCCTTTAGTTTTTGAAACAATACTAATAAGAGCTAATCAGAATAGAAGTAAATTCTAATAATACTCAGAGCATTCACTTTCACAAAGGCAGTCAACAAGTGAAACCTTTTTCTTTGAAAATTGTAAATTCAAAACAGTTGAAACTTCGAAGTATCTTAAAGTATATTTTTTGTCCAGCATTGGGATATACACTGAGATTGAGTCTAAACACAGACTCAAATAAATGCAAGGGAATGTATATAATGGTCAAAATCTTTAACGGTATTGTCTTTATGACATATATACTTCACACAACTGCTAATGTAGTCATTTATCTCGAACTTGCAATTTATATGGTATTAAATTCAACGAATTAGACTACTTAGTTAAGGAAATTAAACAATTTTTTTTTGTTTATTTATAAAATATAAATTGATTGCATCTTTCCATTAGAAACTAACAATAATTTGTAGCTTTATTCGAAATTATTTTAAGAATATTAAGTTTTATTTCCAGCATTAAATTTTTGTATATTTCTATATGTATTTCGGTAAATTCCCTTTTGTCTTCATCAGAAGACAAACTATTTATACTTATTATAGTAGGGTTTTTTGTTTTTCTCCTCGTGGGTAATAGATAAATAATGGTAGCGGCAGGGGTCTGGTTTTGTTATTCAGGGTTTGTATTTTAGAATGTATTTAAAAAGCTGTGATGATACGTTGCTCTTATCGCCGTTGAGTACAGGTGTTGCCTGATGTTTGTGTATTTCGATGCTCTCTGCCGTTTCTAATTTTCAGATATTTCTGGAGATCATAGACATTAATAGAGACTTTTCTCAACAACACCAAACAAAGGGTTTCCAAGCGCGAGTCAACATGTGTACTAGTGGAAAAAGAGGAATTACCAAAAGAAGGCAAGAACATTTTCAAGAATTTTTCAACGTTGGTGTAGAAAGTAATTACATATCCTTGTACAGAATAAGAATTAAAACCCTAGAGGAACTTACAGAAGCCATACAGCAATTGAAAAACAGGAAAACACCTGGTGAAGATAATACATGAACAGAGCATATAAATCAGTGCAAGAAAACGCCAAAATAAAGTTATTTACTTTAATCAAACGTGTTTGGGCTGAAGAACAGCTGTCGGAAGCGTGGCTTACTGGTGTAATAGTGCCGCTGCACAAGAAAGGTGACAAACTAGACTTGACTTGACAGCAGATAAAAATCAAATCAGAGCGAAAGAAAGGTGCTGAGAAGAATTTGTGGTCTCATCGCAGAGCTACTACAACTTTATAACGGTGAAGATGCTGTAAAATTCGAAAAGTCGCATCACTTAAGATGGATAAGATGGCTCGACAACGTGATCAACATCAGAAGCATGGGTATTCAAAATTGGAGGTCTAAAATGACATGCAAAGCAGAATGGAGGAAGCTGGTTAATGCAGCTTAAGCTCATGCCAAATTGTAACGCTGATAATGATGACTTCTTTTTATATTTAAATCTTTTTCGTTAAATTATTGACGAT